TCTTCCCTTCTGTTTTCCCACCAAACTCCTCATGAGCCTGAAGCTGAAGGAGCAAACTACTCTGCTGCTTCGGATCCTACCTCATAAACAGAAACCAGCCACAGAAGCCATTTGTCTGACTGGGTTTTAATGTGACAGATATAGAAGGAAATTGCCAGTCATCAGAAGGGTAACGGTTACTTGGTGCGACAGTGGGTTATTGATGAAGCACCTATCCTACTCTTAAGCACAGTTAACACAACTGGCTCTAAGGAAGGTTGTTATTGTGCAGCTGTGCTCAGTGGAAGGCAGGGGGAGAGGAAAGGGGAACAATGGCACATGCTGATTGTGATCCTGTTTTGTAACTGAACCAATGTATTGACATCAGTGAAATAAGAGTGAACATCTTTTTAAAGGTTTCAGACTGGGAATGGCTTGGTGAGACACAAGATTCATTATAGAATCATGCAAGAACCAAGACAGAGCATAGAAACTAGAGATGCAAAAGCCCTTTTAGATCTTCTTGTCTTTGTCATTGTCACTGTAGGAACTTTGGCCCAGAACGTCAAAGGTAATTAGGCACCTACTTCCTATTGATTTCAAAGAGAGTTGATGCCTAAATATCACTGAGGATCTGAACTTTTCCCTATAATAGTCTCAAGTGTGTTTTTATTTCAGAGCCCTAAAAGATGGGGCTTCCACAATTCCTTTGGAGACACTACTGCACAAGCTCCTACACCTCAGAGGTAGGCCATTTTCCCTGATACTCTGCCCACATTTTCCTTTGGCAGATTTCATGCAGTTAAGAGTTTGCCTTGTCCTTTCCCCTCCTAAGTATTAGTATCTAGTTTAAATGGAATGGTATGTGTGACATATTATAAAGCCAGCATCACACCTACAGTAGTTAAAGTACATATCTTTCCCCTGAAGAGTGGCTGGGCCCCTGGGTTTAGGCTGCCTCACTGAGCCCTCATCAGATTTAATATGTGAAGTGGTTTTTTTAACTGGCAGCTCTGGAAACTCAAACTGGGTCCAAAAATTCGGCTGTGCTCTGTCGACCTAGTGAGCCCCCATTGAGACGTACTACAAACACAGTTGATTGAAGTGTCCACCTTTCTGCAGCGTGGGGTCAACATTCCGCAACTGGAACTTGGTTAACAATTGTGTTGACGAGCAAAGCAGAGTCAGAGACCAGCTGCCACAACGGTGCTCGCTCTGCATTGTTACCAGGAGTAGTACTTAAACCTTGGTTCTGATGCTAATGTATGATTAGAGCCATACACAGGTGGCAGCTTTGCTGAGTGCGAAGCTGTATTACAAGCCATTTTGCACAGTAGAAATACACTTTGCAGTTGCAAACAGCTTCTAAGATCAACCCCTTTTTCGCACGCTCAAGACTCCAAACTTTCCAAACCTTTGGAGCTGAACATGTCCATGAGTGATGTGTGCCTAAAGGTGAATTATTCTGGAAGGTTTGAGCAAAGTCCATTTAACTGCTTTGCAGGGACGGGAAAGTGACAAAACCACACTTTTTACCCACTATAAAAAAGTATAGCCATCATCTTTTTAAAAAGCCAGGGCCAAAGTAAAAACGGCTGAAGTCTGAAACTGCATGAGGAGAGAGAGTCCTTGCCAAGGAGAACATCCTCTTGGTGGGGTGACAGTACTGCTTGGGGAGGGTGCTCAGAGGGCATCTGCAGAGATGGTTAGCTCAGCCTATAGAACCTACACCATTTTTGCATCACAGATTTTGCATTTAGGGACCAGACTCTGGCATTTACCCACAGGCTTGAGTAAAGGGGGATGCATACTCCTTAGAGAGCTTAGGCAAAGACAAGCCCCCTGGAACTAGCCCTGAACTGGATACACACAAGGGTGTTGACCTCTTGGATCATTATTGCCATTTAAATGGGTTTTTTGCCCCTAATCCTGCTCCAAGGTGCATTTTCTCTTTAGGTGTCTGTCCTCCAGTCACGACTCCTGCATACTCTCTCAAGCCAAACAATAACACCAATAAAGATGGGTAATTAGTGGCCTTGTCCCTCCCCCACCCAACCCATTCACCTCACATAAGATGTGAGCCTCAAGGTCTAATTAACATTAAATACCATTATCAAACATAAAAAGAAAAGGAGTACTTGTGGCACCTTAGAGACTAACCAATTTATTTGAGCATGAGCTTTCGTGAGCTACAGCTCACTTCAGCGGATGCATCCGATGAAGTGAGCTGTAGCTCACGAAAGCTCATGCTCAAATAAATTGGTTAGTCTCTAAGGTGCCACTAGTACTCCTTTTCTTTTTGCGAATACAGACTAACATGGCTGTTACTCTGAAACCTGTCAGGATAGCAGAAGTTACTGCAACATTGCAAAGTTAGAATCACAATGAGTCAGGACTTATAAGAGCCAAGGTTCCAACAGCTATGTTAATCTGGCTGCACTGCATAGATATTCTGTATGTCTATAGGTATATGTGTTTTCAATCCCTGTTTATGGTGATAAATCAGTGGCCTAATATGTTACTGGCCTTTGTGACTGAACATGTAACCTGAACATTGCATTGACATAAACCAGAACTTTCTCATTTATATTGGAGTAGATAGAGCTCAATACATGGAAGAGTCTTTCTCAATATAAAGGAAGCCATTACTGTACACACCAGAAGCGTAGGGACCTGATGTTAAGCAAGCGAGTCTGTATTTTGTCATCTTAAGCAACAGAGTCAGAAAATTTTAGCCATAGATTTTTGCATGTAATAATGTGATAACACTAGCTTTGTTTTATGAAAATGCCTGTGATTCCTACGATAATACTAATTCCCTGAAGACTAAGTGATAAAAATGAGAGAACTGTCAGACTTTGTATTCTACTCCGAAGAACATTCACTTTCCACTTTCTCCCTCTATTACTAAAATACAGGCATTGTTTCAAAAAGAAAGAGCCAGTCAGCTCAGAGCAGAGGCTCAGAACAGCGCATCTTAATTTTTTGGCAGAATTCCCCATTGCCTTTCTAATGCTTATTTAAAAGTCACGGGCCAAACTCTGCAGTCCCTGCCAAGAGTAATGCCTCAGTAAGGACTGCAGGATTTGAGCCAAACAGAGAAATGGTACCCAACCTAGCTAAAGGCTTTTTAGAAGAACACGGGTGTCCTTAAATTACACTGACGAAATGATAATACCTTTTAGTGCTGAACGAGGATTAAGCAACAAGTGCTTCACTCAGATCAAAGGGCACTTAATGGCTCCCTTTCTCTCCAATGAGGAGATAACATTGCCACTGATACATGTCTGCAGTTCAGAGTCTCCCGTCTCCTGCGTGCACACAATCCATTCTCCTGATGGCTGTGCAATAAGCTAGCACCTCACTTGTCTTTATAATGCAGTTACTCACTCTGTCGAGTCCTACCCCAAGAATACAGATACTCTTCAGCAGAGCGGGACATACTGAAATGGCCCTTTGCACTTTGGAAACACAGTAACAAGAAAGCAGGCTGCTGGCGTGTCTCCCCAGCCCAGGAAGGTTAGTCCAGGCCCGAAAGTCTGTACACACCCTTCCTTCAGAGCTAGGGTGACCAGACAGCAAATGTGAAAAATCGGGACAAGGGTGGGGGGTAATAGGAGCCTATATAAGAAAAAGACCCAAAAGTCGGGACAGTCCCTATAAAATTGGGACATCTGGTCACCCGATTCAGAGCACACTTTTAGTCTTCAGATACAAAACTCGTGGTGTAACACAAAGTTATTCCTCTGATCAAAGCAGGCAGCGGGGGCCCAGATGCCTTTCTCCCTTGCTTCTTCCCCACTGCTCCAGGACCCACCACAAGAGCCAGCTTGCTTCCTGTAGCTCTCCTCCAACTGAGCTCTCTCAGCCCTTTATAGGAAGCCTTCATCGGGAGGGAGCCTGTCAATCATTCTGAGAAGCGTATTATTTTACTTCGGCTCAGTTGTTGTTGTGGTAACAGCGCGTTCCAATAGCAGCAGGAAGGAGAGGGTGATGGGGAACGTTCTCCCACTCTGTCTGTGGAGTAGGTGCAATGCGGTGCCAAGCGTTAATAGCAAAGGGCCCCATGTAAACCGGTCCAGAGATCACTAAATACATTTGCTACAGGAACATTTTTAAGTGACTTTAAAATTCCAAACTTTCTGTATGATGCATTAACTGAAATAATACACAATAATAATGCATAAATGTCACTTGCTGTACAGAAAACCATGCTCTTTGGGAATACCCTGCAGTTAGATCCCTCGCTTCTTGGACTTTATTCAATGGAAGCTGTAATAACATGGAACCATTACTTGTGGGTTAAATTCTGTCTGGTACATGCCAGAATTCTAACACAGGATCAACCGCACCCATCTTGGCCCCAATAAAACATCACCCACTGTGCGGACCCTTTGCCATGGAGGGTTGTTATGGGGCACTGCCTGAAGTGAGAGGGCATGACCTGCTTGTCGTGATCAATGACCCAGCAAAAACCTTTATGTTCAGCCCCAATGCAGTGTATTGCTGGTCTCAGTGAGAGTCAATTGCACAACGGGCTGTCACTGGGCTGATCTTGCCAGAATACAACTGTCACTTCCTGTTGATTAATCACTCTGTACATCCTGCCCACTTCCTGGTGCCTGCCAGAATCCGGTCCTCTGCCTTTACCTTTAGAAGATAAATAGCCTTACAAGCACGATGTCAGCTTGACATTGATAATATACAAAGGAGATTGGCTGCTCCTAGTAAGAGAAGTTGGTCCCTAATCTCAAATAAAGTGAAAGAAAAGTAATTATTTAATCAAAGTTTTGGTGCTATTCTGGCTCATTATTTCCTCCAATTCCTACGGACTTCTGTACATTGCAACAGGATTTATGACGCTCCCCAGAAGTTACCAATCAGTAGCTAATATTACCACGCATACAGGGCCAAAGCATCTGTCCCTCCATCCCAGGCTTGTCACTGTGCTGTTTGAACTTGATCTAACTGAACATTGCAGCAGGTAAAAGGAAATAAACGACCCCCGCTGGGGCACCCACCTGCCACACGGGGTCTGTGTGCTTCCCTGACTTGGCAGAGCTCTTGTAGCCTGGCTGCGAGTGTGACTTTTTCAGGTTGTAGATGGCCACGTTGCCATCGTAGAAGCCCACAACAAGAAGATAGGGATGGTCATTGTGGATGTCGAGGCACATGATGCCACTCTCACTGCTGAAGATGTACTCAGGGAAGGTGGGGTTCTTCATGGTGTACAGAAGGAGCATGCCCCGGCTCTGCTTCATGAAGTCATCTAGAAAAAGGAAGATCCACACCATGATGTGAGTGTGACATTACACCCCATATTCTTTATGGAAATATGCTTATGATATGGATATGGCATAACTGAGATCTATTTTATGCAAGATGGGTCTTGCAAGGTATCATCAGAAAGGTTATATTTTACTGAATGTGATTATCCAATTTGTAGGCATGTATCATTTCTGTATCTACAGTTAGGAATATTGACTATGTCACAATTACAACTGCGTGTGTATTTGGGAGACACCCACCAGACAACAGGTCACCAGCCTTGATGGGCCATTAGGAAGAAACAATAAGACTTTGAAGACACTAATCTCTCTCCTTCCTGAGAGGCGTCCTGGGACGTAGCTGTGACACTACTAGGTCAGGTGGTCCTGTCACCTGGTACTAAACACCATCTTGAACTTCTAGTAATTTTCCACTAAAAGGAGGGGGAGGTCAACACTGGGAAACAAAAGATTCCCACCTTATGAAAATCTTATTTAAGGCTGGGGAGTAAGGCAAACAGGACGCTTCTCCATTGCCTTCCTGCCCAAGAACAAAGACTGCTGAAAGTACCTGAAGAGACAAAGGAACTGAGTGGTGGTGGGAAAGGCAAGGGCTGAGTCCAGACTAAGACAGGCATCTAGTCTGTAAAGAGAAATAACTGGAACTCTAAGCTACACAAACTCTGTAACTTGCCTAAAACAACATTTAGGGTGAGAAATTATTTCTTGCAACCAGCCTCTTTAAGATCTTAAGCTTAGTATGTGAGTTTTGTTTTATTTGCTTGGTAATCTGCTTTGTTCTGTTTGCTATCCCTCATAATCACTTAAAATCTGCCTTTTATAGTTAATAAACTTGTTTTGTTTATTATTAAGCCCAGTTCATGCAATTTCTAACTGGGGGGGAGGGGCAAGTTGTGCATATCTTCCTCCACATTGAGGGAGGGGGCAAGGTTCTGAGATTACGTTGTATAGATTTCTCTACACATCTGGAGAATAAGCGAAGCCACCCATTCATTGATAAAACTATTACAAATAAGTACTAGTATTGCAAATATATATTAATCTACTAAACATGCAACATTCCTTTCAATGGTGCTGTATCTCAGGGAATGGTATGCAAATGGGCTTTGTATCAGAGTGGTAGCTGTGTTAGTCCGTATCCACAACAACAACGAGGAGTCTGGTGGCACCTTAAAGACTAGAGTAGATATGGGGACTTGACAGCTAAGCGTCTGGAAGCAGTCATAAGCATGTATCAGTGCCCAATATGAAGACTGAAGCTCTTGATGCTTTGAAATCCAACTCAATACACAGTGGCACATTCTGGTGGCTCAAAAAATAATAACTTGACAGCAACCAATGATATTATATGTCTCAATTACTTCACAGTCAGAACAACAAACCCAGAGCCCATCCCCTGGAACAAGCTAGAGTGGCACTACACTGCTTCAGTTTGTGAGGTAGCCTTCATTACAGGCACTCAGAAATAATGGTGATGGAAGCCACAAGATCCTACATAGAAAACCAAAGGTGTAATGAAAGCCACTGAACCGTTTAAGAGAATGGATAGAAGGAAAAGAAGAGTGATCAGGGTCTGAGTAATGTTTACCTTGTTTCACTTTTAAAGAGTCTATCTAAACTCAAAGTTCTCCTGCGAACCCATAACATTACAATCAGAACTAGCTTTCAGAAACAACTGCTGCTGCCTGAAACGTTTGTCTGTGTAGACATTTCTAAAATGACAAGATGGGAGGTAACATCTTTATTGGACCAACTTTTGTTGGGGAGAGAGACAAGTTTTCCAGCTTACACAGAGGTCTTCTTCAGGTCTGGGAAATGTACTCAGCGACCTGAAGAAGAGCTCTGTGTAAGCTCCAAAGCTTGTCTCTCTCACCAACAGTAGTTAGTCCAATAAAAGATAACCTCACCCAACCTGTCTTTCTAATAGCCTGGGACCAACCCTACTACAACCACACTGCATACGACATATAGGCATTTCTAATGCATTCATTGCCACTGCATAAAGGTGTCCTTATAAATGCTAAGAGTTCTCAGGAGAATCTGAGTTTTTTCCAAAAATGAGAAGTAAATCTACAACCTTAGAGTCAAACACCTGTATGGAATTCAAACAAGCAGTCAAAACTCTCCTGGATTCCTTGAGAAACATCTTGTGCTCATATCAATGAGCTCAGTGCAATTATATCTTTTACAGACCAGGTGGGTAAGGTAATATCTTTTATTGGACCAACTTCTGTCGGTGAAAGACAAACTTTTGAGCTTCACAGAGGTCTTCTTCAACTCTGGGATTACCTTTCCCAGACGTGAAGAAGAGTCCTGTGGAGCTTGAAAGCATGTCTCTTTCACCTACAGAAATTGGTCCAATAAAAGATATTACCTTACCCACCTGGTCTGTCTCATATCCTGGGACCAACATGGCTACACTACCACTGCCAACAGTATATTTTTTAGACAGAAGTCATGGTGCTTGGGGATGAAACTTGCATCAAAGCAGAAATTTTCAAAGAATGGTCTCTATTGTCCCTGAGGCAAGGAAGAGATTTCTGAATTAATAACCCAGTTGTATGGTTCCTAGTGTGATAAGTCCATCCATCATCCTCTCTTTCTAGGGCTCAATAATCCAGAATATTATACCCTTACATCTCACACTCTGCCTACTCTGATCCAAGACACACCATGCACCAATCATATGAAAGCAAGAGAAAAAGCTTTCCCGTCAACATGGCACAACAAATCTCCAAGCTACATCAAAACATCCTGGCTATTGCTGAAAATCTGCCCTTTCCAGCCCCCCCAAATCCAATCTAAAAAGAAAACCAACACAGGGAAGCACATTTGTAAACAGCTGCTTGTGTCTGAGCTCTCAGCTGCCCATGAATATTTTACTTATGTTGTCTGCCTTAGATGTGTTTCAGAGTAGCAGCCGTGTTAGTCTGTATTTGCAAAAAGAAAAGGCGTACTTGTGGCACCTTAGAGACTAACCAATTTATCTGAGCATAAGCTTTCGTGAGCTACAGCTCACTTCATCGGATGCTGTAGCTCACGAAAGCTTATGCTCAAATAAATTGGTTAGTCTCTAAGGTGCCACAAGTACTCCCTTTCTTTTTGCCTTAGATGTGTTCACTCTTTGATGACTCTGTTTGCTGGTGTTTAGTCCTGTAAGCTTTGTTTCTTCAAAAGCCAAAGGATTAAGCTATTGTATGTGCTTGAGAGGTACGGCAAGGGCAACCCAGGTTACTTACCAGCAGGATCAGTTCAAAAGTCAGAAGTTTATGGTGCTCCTATGAGTGATTGAGATTTATACTTGCCTTAAAACTACTTTGACAATAGAAGTTAAGTGAATGCCTACACATTTCCCCCAAATAAACAAAACATCACCTAGTGCTAGAAGCATTGTGAGTGCAGAAGCACCTAAGAAAGGAACTGGCCAGCATTATGGAGTTTGCTGTAGTCCAATTGCCCCAAAAGATTTGGAAAAGAATGACTCTTTCCGAGGAGTGCAGGAAGTTTGGCAGTGTGCTGAGCTCATTTTCAAGGGTTGCTGAAATAATAATAATCAGCAGTTTTATAATGTTTTACAGTACTTTGAGCTGCACAGACTCTAAACTAGTTAATCCTCACAGCACCCCTTGAAGGACGGTAGGTTGAGTATTATCATGTTCTTACAGATGATGAAACCGAGAAACTGAGAAAGGAAACGTGAAGTGACTTGCACAAGACCACAAAGGGAGTTAAATGAAGAAAGCTCAGCTCTCCTGAACGCTCATTCCTCCACTATGCTCTGCCTAACAGAGCATCCCAGTGATATGTGAACAAGATGGCCAGTGTCCCAGGAGAGAGAGAGAGAGATTTAAACAGGAGCCACTATGAGAACCCACATGCCCACTGTGTGCTTCTGTCCCACCGACCAGAACAGAAGCACTATGCCAAGGTGATACAAGCCTTAATGGATAATTGTGGTTCCTGGATCTGTGTACATGCAGTACATACTACATACCATAGCCAAGCAAAACTAATGCCAGAATTTTCAAAAAAACTCCATACTTGGTAATTCATAAAGTCAGAGTTTACGGCCAGAAGATACCATGGGATCATCTAGTCTGACTTCCTGTATAGTGCAGGCCAGAGAATTTGATTGCTATCTCTGTACTGAGTCCAATAACTTGTGTTTGACGTAAGCATACCTTTCAGAGAGATATGCAGCCTTCATCTGAAGATGTCAAGAGATGGAGAATCAACCACTTCCTTGGGTTGGTTGTTCTAGTTGTTAATCAAATTCACTGCTAAAAATTTGTGTCTAACTTCTAATTTGCCTGGCTTCAGCTTCCAGGCATTGGTTCTGGTTAAGCCTTTCTCTGCTAAGTTAAAGAACCTTTAGTACCTAGTATTTTCTCCCTGGGAAGGTCCTTACACACCATAATCACATCACCTCGCCGTCTAAACAGATCGAGCTCTCTAAATCTCCCACTGTAAGGCATTTTTTTCGAGCCCTGGAATCACTTGTGTGGCTCTTTTCTGCCCCACTCCAATTTTTCAATATCCTAGAAAATGTGCACACCTGAACTGGATGCACTATTCCAGTACTGGTCTCACTAATACCAAACACAGAGGTAAAATCCCCTTCCTACTCCTATTCTCTACTCCTTTGTTCATATATCCAACTATGGCAATGGCTCTTTTTGTCACAGCATCACACTGGGAGCTCATGTTAAGATGCTTGTCCATAATGATTCCTATGTCCTTTTCAGAGTCACTGCTTTCTAGGATACAGTCCCCAATTCTGTAGGCATGAGCTTCACTCCTCTTCCTAGGTGTATACATTTACATTTGGTGGGATTAAAACTTATTTTATTTGAATGGGCCAAGTTTACCAAGAGATTCCGATCACTCTCTATGACCAGCCTGGCATCCTTATTTACCACTCTGCCAATCTCTGTGTCATCTGCAAATTTTATAAGCAGTGATTTTTATACTTACTTCCAGA